ACGGCAGATCTATTGAGCGCTTTGTTCAGAGAATCGATATCCAAGTATAGTGATAGGTTTTTACCCTTTCAACTGGTACAAAAACTGACACCTTTATGCAAGGCATCGTGTTTGCAATAACCACAACACAAGCAGTCAAAATGCAAACAAAAAAAGAAACAACTCTGATGATGATGATAATGATAGGCACTGTCCTTGAAGTTGATTGGTCCACACCCGAGACAGCTTTTCTTAGAGCCTAGTCTCCATTGGTGTTGGACCAGATGACGCCAAAAGGCATACAACTCAAAAACAGTGCACTATCAGAGTATTGATACTGGTAATGGAGGTCTCATAGTGTAAATGCTTTACCCCGAGCTCTCAATACTCTGATAGTGCGCTGTTTTTGAGTTGTACGCCTTTTGGCGTCATCTGGTCCAACACCATGTGAGACTAGGCTCTAAGAAAAGCTGTCTCGGGTGTGGACCAATCAACTTCAAGGACAGTGCATATCATTATCATCATCAGAGTTGTTTCTTTTTTGTTTGCATTTTGACTGCTTGGGTTGTGGTTATTGCAAACATGATGCCTTGTATAAAGGTGTCAGTTGTTTGTACCAGTTGAAAGGGTAAAAACCTATCACTATATTTTGCCACTGTAAAAGGAGATGTCTCATAGAATCAATATCCAAGTGAAACGATAAAATCTGTTAAACCCTGAGAGAGAGAGAGATATACGACGGGATGAACCACGATAGGGCCCCAGACGTTGTCAATTCTGGGGCTCTCTGCTTGGCGGTGAGCCAGAGGTGGAAATTCCACGTTAATATGGCGGGGTCAGTCCATCCATACGGGATGAATATTGCAGGTTTGTGATGGGCCGTGATGGTCACGTGTAAAACTGTCACCGTTGTTAACATCACCACCACCACCACCTTCACAATCTGCACCATCCACATGACCACTAACACCACCACTGACATCGTAATCACCACCAACATCACCACCACCACCATAATGATCACGACTATCAGCACCACCATCATCACCACTAACATTACCATCGTGATCACCATCATCACCACTAGTATCATCATTATCACCACTAACCATCATCACCGCCATCATCATCACCATCATCACTACCATCACCATTACCGCCACCATCATCACCATCATCATCACCATCATCACCACCACCATCATCACCATCATCATCACCATCATCACCACCATCACCACCACCATCATCATCACCATCATCACCATCATCATCACCATCATCACTACCATCACCATTACCGCCACTATCATCACCATCATCATCACCATCATCACCACCATCATCACCACCATCACCGCCACCATCATCACCATCATCATCACCACCATCATCACCATCATCATCACCATCATCACCACCATCACCACCACCATCATCATCACCATCATCACCACCATCATCACCACCATCATCACCACCATCACCGCCACCATCATCACCATCACCACCACCACCATCATCACCACCATCACCATCATCACCGCCACCATCATCATCACCGCCACACGCTACCACCACCCCCCCCCCCCCCATCGCTCATCAGTATACAGCCCACAACACTGCGCGTGCACACACACACAGAACACGCGGGATTAAACCACAACACACAACAACACATCAACAACACGCAACACATCAACACACAACAACACATCAACAACACGCAACACATCAACACACAGCACATCAACACACAGCAACACACAACACACACACAACACACACACAACACATCAACACGCAACACATCACATCAACACACAGCACACCAACACACAACACGCAACAACACACAACAACAACACAACAACACACAGCACATCAACACACAACACACCAACAACACACAACAACAAACAACACAACTACACAAACACACAACACAACAGCACATCAACACACAACACACCCAACACACAACACACCAACAACACACAACAACAACACACAACACACCCAACACACAACACACCAACAACACACAACAACAAACAACACAACTACACAAACACACAACACAACAACACACAACACATCAACACAGAACACAACACATCAACACACAACACACAACAACAAACAACACAACAAACAACAGCACACACCAACAAACAACACAACACATCAACAAACACAAGACAACAACACACAGCAACACAACACATCAACACAACAACTACACAAACACACAACAACACACACAACAGCAACACAACACACACCAACAAAAACACAACAACACATCAACAAACAACACAACACACAACACATCAACACAACAACACAACACAAAGGCCCTCGGGGTAGCCCACGCAGACTGTAGGGGCAAGTGCTGCTAGCGAGCACCTATGAAGGCCGGCACGGCACACGAGGGGGTGGGTGGCCAGCACCACGCCCGACCGCCTTTGTCTCCCCAGTGGCGATGTTTACTACACACCGCACCAGGTACTCATTTGAGGCTGAGTCGACCTAGGGGAGGCCCAGGATCGGTTCAGATAATCGTCACTGGGTGTTGGCCGTGAGCGGTAATCGAACTCGACCACACACGTGTACACACACACGTGTACACACACACACGTGCACACACACACGTGTACACACACGTGCACACACACGCACACGTGTACACACACACACGTGCACACACGTGTACACACACACACGTGCACAAACACTTGTACACACACGTGTACAACAACCGCCACTAAGTGGTGGTGACGTCACCACGACGCTTGTGCCAGGCCAGGTGCACGTTGAGGCCACGTGAAGTGTAAAACGCCCGCTGGCAGGAGGTCACGGGGCAGACCCAGCAGGTGCCACGGGTCGACTGACCGAGATGACCGAGATGACTGGCTGACGCACCACCTGTGCCCCCTACTGTGCCAACTTGCTGTGCTTTAGCCACCCGGCGCTCCGCTCGTTGTTGTGAGCATCGCTCCTCCGCCCTCTGTTGTTGTTGGAGGGCGACTGCCTCCAACTGCCCAGTAGCGTGGGTGGTGATGGAGATGCAGCACCAACAACTAAAATTTCACCTCCTGTACACCAGGCGAGGTAGTTAACATCCCCTAGCCACCGTGATAATGATGAGAGAGAGACACGCAAACTCCAAATATACAGCAGCAGGTGTCAGGGTCATGATCGAACCCACGACCTCCTGCACACCAGGCAAGGTAGTTAACATCTAGCCACCGTGATGATGATGAGAGAGAGACACGCAAACTCCAAATATACAGCAGCAGGCGTCAGGGTCGGGATCGAACCCACGACCTCCTGCACACCAGGCGAGGTAGTTAACATCTCCTAGCCACCGTGATGATGATGATGATGAGAGAGAGAGACACGCAAACTCCAAATACACAGCAGCAGGCGTCAGGGTCGGGATCGAGATCGAACCCACGACCTCCCAATCTCAACTAAAACTTTCGGTGTTTTTTTTCTTCTTCTACATTTCACCAGGTGAGGCCCCAACGCCCAAGCGACACCGGGTCTGTTTCAGCAGAGACCTGGCCACAACAACAACAACCACAACAACAAACCCGATCAATCTTCTTCTTGGTTCTTTCGCTAAAGTCACGTAGCAGGGAAATCATAAAATTATAAAAATAAAAATAATAAAATACAATTCTCACGACGTTTCGGCCACAACGCAAGCAGCCGTCCTATTGTAATTGCCTATTGTATTGTAACGCTATTTTAATTGCCTATTGTATTGTAACGCTATTTGAATTTTCGATTTAAAGCTTTAGTGACTGCAGGGATTCATCTTCTTGGTTCTTTCGGTAAAGTCACGTAGAAGGGAAGTAATAAAATAATAAAAATAAAACATAATAAAATAATTATATTTAAAGCTTTCGTGACTGCAGGGATTCATCTTCTTGGTTCTTTCGGTAAAGTCACGTAGAAGGGAAATAATAAAAAAATATAAAAATAAAACATAATAAAATAAAAAATTCTCACGAAGTGGCCGATTACGTGGAAGTACCGAGAGAGCAGGCATCCACGTGATTAAACACTTTGTCCTGCGGAGGGAGCTGGTAGGAACGTTGGGTTGCTCGGTCAATGGCCTGCAGGGTCAACGGCGGCGTGGTGTATTCCGCAAATATGCCCGACTGTGAGGGCGGGCACAAGCCGGCGTGAGTAGGTTAAACGTTGAGTTTTATAAGGGCACCACGGGGTGACCAGCCCCTCCCCACCCAGCCCAACCCCTCCCAGCCCCACCCAGCCTCACCCTCCCCACCCAGTCCCACCCTCCCCACCCAGCCCCTCTCCACCCAGCCACACCCTCCCTACCCAGCCCCTCCCCAACCTCCCCACCCAGCCCCTCCCCTCCCCACCCAGCCCCTCCCCACCTTCCCCACCCCCCCACCCTCCCCACCCAGCCCCTCCCTCCCCACCCAGCCCCTCCATCCCCACCCAGCCCCTCCCTGCACGCCAGACAGATGGACACAATAATCCCCTGTGGGCTGGTGTAACCAGGTTCCTACCAGTATAACGCAACTTGTGTGCGTGCGTGTGCGTGTGTGCGTGTGTGTGTGTGCGTGTGTGTGCGTGCGTGTGTGCGTGTGTGCGTGTGCGTGCGTGCATGTGTGCGTGTGCGTGTGCGCGTGTGCGTGCGTGCGCGTGTGCGTGTGTGCGTGCGTGTGCGTGCGTGCGTGTGTGCGTGTGTGCGTGTGTGCGTGTGCGCGTGTGCGCGTGTGTGCGTGTGCGCGTGTGCGTGTGCGTGCGTGTGCGCGTGTGCGTGCGTGTGTGCGTGTGCGCGTGTGCGTGTGTGCGTGTGCGCGTGTGTGCGTGTGCGCGTGTGTGCGTGTGTGCGTGTGTGCGCGTGTGCGCGTGTGTGCGTGCGTGTGTGTGCGTGTGTAACCGTGTGTTGAACTTCTTTGTCATCACCGGTACGGAGTCGCCAACCGTTGCCGATCGGAGGGCGCGGGAGGCAAGAAACTGAACGCAACAACGAAAACTGAGTTCTCAAGAAATTTGATTGAGACATTTTTCAACCGAGTACAGCGCTGTCGAGTTAAAGCGGGGTGGGGTATAGTCGTGTGTAGTGTATAGTGTAGTGTATAGTGTAGTGTATAGTGTAGTGTATAGTGTAGTGTATAGCACTGTGTGTAGTAGTGTATAGCGCTGTGTGTAGTAGTATAGTGTGTAGTGTAGTGTATAGTGTAGTGTATAGTGTAGTGTGTAGTGTATAGTGTAGTGTATAGTAGTGTATATTGTAGTGTATAGCGCTGTGTGTTGTAGTATAGTGTGTAGTGTAGTGTATAGCGCTGTGTGTAGTAGTGTATAGTGTAGTGTATAGTGTAGTGTATAGCCGTGTGTAGTAGTGTATAGTGTAGTGTATAGTGTAGTGTATAGCGCTGTGTGTAGTAGTGTATAGTGTAGTGTATAGTGTAGTGTATAGCGCTGTGTATAGTAGTGTATAGCGTTGTGTGTAGTAGTATATAGTGTAGTGTATAGTAGTGTATAGTGTAGTAGTATATAGTGTAGTGTATAGTGTAGTGTATAGCGCTGTGTGTAGTAGTGTATAGTGTAGTGTATAGCGCTGTGTATAGTAGTGTATAGCGTTGTGTGTAGTAGTATATAGTGTAGTATATAGTGTAGTATATAGTAGTATATAGTGTAGTGTATAGTAGTATATAGTGTAGTATATAGTAGTATATAGTGTAGTGTATAGTGTAGTGTATACTAGTGTACTCTATAGTGTACTGTATAGTGTAGTGTATAGTGTACTCTATAGTGTAGTGTATAGTCTAGTCTATAGTGTAGTGTATAGTCTAGTATACTACATCGTGCGATGATCGCAAGCCGCAGGGTTTAGGACGACAGACTCAGCAACAACAACAGCAACAACAAGAACAACAATCAGCTCCAGTGGCTCTCGCCTCCCAACAATCGAGCAAGCGAGCGCCTTGCGGACACGCTGCGAGCCATCATCCTTCCTTCTTCTCGCCCTCCCCGTCCCCCTTGTTGTCCTGCCACACCCGGTAGTTCAGCGCGGCGGCGAAGCTCAACCACGCCAGGTAGGGCACCATGAGCATGGCGGCCGTCTTGTTGATGGGGTACCAGCTGACGGCGGTTGCCGCCGCCGTGCCAGAGAGCAACAGGATCTCGGCAAAAGCCTGCGCGGGGGACACAGCGGGGACACAGCGGGGACACAGCGGGGACACAGCGGGGACACAGCGGGGACACAGCGGGGACGACAGGCGGGTCGGGCGACACAAAATTAAAACGATGCTTTACGCACACACACACACGCGGTGGTCACAACGCCGTAGTAAACAGTACTCTACGCTCGCACGGATGTTGACTGGGTGAGGCACGCCGATTGAGACCGAAGCATGGGAGACGATTACCCACAATCCCACAGCCAGAGAGAGAGAGAAGAACCATCGGCTCGGTTGTGATCACGTGACGCTCGGCAGACAAAGCGTATACTGTACGTACTGCAGTGGTATACTGTACGTACTACAGTATTATTCGTATTGCAAGACATCGCTCGTTTATCAAATTAATATTTACTCGCAATCCAAGGTTTTACTGTAGAGGTGTACGAGCGTGCATGTTGTGTTGTATATATATGTGTATAGAGGTGTGTAAGCGTGCATGTTGTCTTGTATATATGTGTGTATAGAGGTGTGTAAGCGTGCATGTTGTCTTGTGTATATATATGTGTGTATAGAGGTGTGTAAGCGTGCATGTTGTCTTGTATATATGTGTGTATAGAGGTGTGTAAGCGTGCATGTTGTGTTGTATATATGTGTGTATAGAGGTGTGTATAGGTGTGTACGAGCGTGCGTGTCGTGTTGTACAGAGAGGAGTTGTATAAAGACGCGTGCAGAGGTGTGCATGCCTACCAAGCCCATGCGGTGAGCCTTGAAGAAGATCGGGGTCCACATCCAGTTGAGAGCCAGCTGCGCCCCGTAGAGGCCCAGCGGGGTCACGGCGTCGCTGGTGAAGCCCCCGAGGTCACGCCACACCAGGTACGACGCGTACCTGCCTCGCACGCACACACAACCACGCTAGTGACGCTGGTGACCCCGCCGCGTGACCCCGCCGCGTGACCCCGCCGCGTGACCCCGCAGCGTGACCCCGCAGTGTGACCCCGCAGTGTGACCCCGCAGTGTGACCCCGCCGTGTGATCCCGCTACGTGACCCCGCAGTGTGACCCCGCCGCGTGACCCCGCAGTGTGACCCCGCCGCGTGACCCCGAAGCGTGACCCCGCCGTGTGACCCCGCAGCGTGACCCCGAAGCGTGACCCCGCCGTGTGACCCCGCCGTGTGACCCCGCAGCGTGACCCCGCCGCGTGACCCCGCAGTGTGACCCCGCAGTGTGACCCCGCCGCGTGACCCCGCAGTGTGACCCCGCAGTGTGACCCCGCAGTGTGACCCCGCAGTGTGACCCCGCAGTGTGACCCCGCCGCGTGACCCCGCAGCGTGACCCCGCCGCGTGACCCCGCAGTGTGACCCTGCAGTGTGACCCCGCAGTGTGACCCCGCCGCGTGACCCCGCAGTGTGACCCCGCAGTGTGACCCCGCAGTGTGACTCCGCCGTGTGACCCCGCAGCGTGACCCCGCCGCGTGACTCCGCCGCGTGACTCCGCCGCGTGACTCCGCCGCGTGACCCCGCAGCGTGACCCCGCAGCGTGACCCCGCAGCGTGACCCCGCAGCGTGACCCCGCAGTGTGACCCCGCCGTGTGACCCCGCTACGTGACCCCGCAGTGTGACCCCGCCGCGTGACCCCGCAGCGTGACCCCGCCGCGTGACCCCGAAGCGTGACCCCGCCGTGTGACCCCGCAGCGTGACCCCGAAGCGTGACCCCGCCGTGTGACCCCGCCGTGTGACCCCGCAGCGTGACCCCGCCGCGTGACCCCGCAGTGTGACCCCGCAGTGTGACCCCGCCGCGTGACCCCGCAGTGTGACCCCGCAGTGTGACCCCGCAGTGTGACCCCGCAGTGTGACCCCGCAGTGTGACCCCGCAGTGTGACTCCGCAGTGTGACCCCGCCGCGTGACCCCGCAGCGTGACCCCGCCGCGTGACCCCGCAGCGTGACCCCGCAGTGTGACCCCGCAGTGTGACCCCGCAGTGTGACCCCGCCGCGTGACCCCGCAGTGTGACCCCGCAGTGTGACCCCGCAGTGTGACTCCGCCGTGTGACCCCGCAGCGTGACCCCGCAGCGTGACCCCGCAGCGTGACTCCGCCGCGTGACTCCGCCGCGTGACTCCGCCGCGTGACTCCGCCGCGTGACCCCGCAGCGTGACCCCGCAGCGTGACCCCGCCGCGTGACCCCGCAGCGTGACCCCGCCGCGTGACCCCGCCGCGTGACCCCGCCGCGTGACTCCGCCGCGTGACCCCGCAGCGTGACCCCGCAGCGTGACCCCGCAGCGTGACCCCGCCGCGTGACCCCGCAGCGTGACCCCGCAGCGTGACCCCGCAGCGTGACCCCGCCGCGTGACTCCGCAGCGTGACCCCGCAGCGTGACCCCGCAGCGTGACCCCGCAGTGTGACCCCGCAGTGTGACCCCGCAGCGTGACCCCGCAGCGTGACCCCGCAGCGTGACCCCGCAGCGTGACCCCGCAGCGTGACCCCGAAGCGTGACCCCGCCGTGTGACCCCGCCGTGTGACCCCGCAGCGTGACCCCGCCGCGTGACCCCGCAGTGTGACCCCGCAGTGTGACCCCGCCGCGTGACCCCGCAGTGTGACCCCGCAGTGTGACCCCGCAGTGTGACCCGCAGTGTGACCCCGCAGTGTGACTCCGCAGTGTGACCCCGCAGTGTGACCCCGCCGCGTGACCCGCAGCGTGACCCCGCCGCGTGACCCCGCAGTGTGACCCCGCAGTGTGACCCCGCAGTGTGACCCCCGCCGCGTGACCCCGCAGTGTGACCCGCAGTGTGACCCCGCAGCGTGACTCCGCCGTGTGACCCCGCAGCGTGACCCCGCCGCGTGACTCCGCCGCGTGACTCCGCCGCGTGACTCCGCCGCGTGACCCCGCAGCGTGACCCCGCAGCGTGACCCCGCCGGTGACTCCGCCGCGTGACCCCGCAGCGTGACCCCGCCGCGTGACCCCGCCGCGTGACTCCGCCGCGTGACCCCGCAGCGTGACCCCGCAGCGTGACCCCGCCGCGTGACCCCGCAGCGTGACCCCGCAGCGTGACCCCGCAGCGTGACCCCGCCGCGTGACTCCGCAGCGTGACCCCGCAGCGTGACCCCGCAGCGTGACCCCGCAGCGTGACCCCGCAGTGTGACCCCGCAGCGTGACCCCGCAGCGTGACCCCGCAGCGTGACCCCGCAGCGTGACCCCGCAGCGTGACCCCGCCGCGTGACTCCGCAGTGTGACCCCGCCGCGTGACCCCGCAGCGTGACCCCGCCGCGTGACCCCGCAGCGTGACCCCGCCGCGTGACCCCGCAGCGTGACCCCGCAGTGTGACCCCGCAGTGTGACCCCGCAGTGTGACCCCGCAGTGTGACCCCGCAGTGTGACCCCGCAGCGTGACCCCGCCGCGTGACCCCGCCGTGTGACCCCGCCGTGTGACCCTGAAGCATGACCCCGCCGTGTGACCCCGCCGTGTGACCCCGCAGCGTGACCCCGCAGTGTGACCCCGCAGCGTGACCCCGCAGCGTGACCCCGCCGCGTGACCCCGCAGCGTGACCCCGAAGCGTGACCCCGCCGTGTGACCCCGCCGTGTGACCCCGCAGCGTGACCCCGCAGTGTGACCCCCGCCGTGTGACCCCCGAGTGACCCCGCAGTGTGACCTCGCCGTGTGACCCCCGAGTGACCCCGCAGTGTGACCCCGCCGTGTGACCCCGCAGTGTGACCCCGCAGTGTGACCCCGCAGCGTGACCCCGCCGTGTGACCCCCGAGTGACCCCGCAGTGTGACCCCGCCGTGTGACTCCGCAGCGTGACCCCGCAGCGTAACCCCACAGCGTGACCCCGCAGCGTGACCCCGCAGTGTGACCCCGCAGTGTGACCCCGCAGTGTGACCCCGCAGTGTGACCCCGCAGTGTGACCCCGCAGCGTGACCCCGCAGTGTGACCCCGCAGCGTGACCCCGCAGCGTGACCCCGCAGCGTGACCCCGCAGCGTGACCCCGCAGCGTGACCCCGCAGTGTGACCCCGCAGCGTGACCCCGCAGCGTGACCCCGCAGTGTGACCCCGCAGTGTGACCCTGCGGTTACGAGTTTGTAAGGAAATAAGGATGGGCTTCGTTTGCCCCTTTCTGGCACTGCAAGAGGTCACGGAACATCTTCTTGGTTCTTTCGGTAAAGTCACGTAGAAGGGAAACAATAAAATAATAAAAATAAAACTGAGGACGGCTGCTTGCGTTGTGGCCGAAACGTCGTGAGAATAATTTTATTATGTTTAATTTTTATTATTTTATTACTTCCCTTCTACGTGATGACTTTACCGAAAGAACCAAGAAGATGAATTCCTGCAGTCACGAAAGAAGCTTTACATCGAAAGTTTCCTCTTCTAGTTCCCACCAACGACTCACCCCATGCCGGTGTACAGCAGCGGCCACACCACGGGGAAGGCCCGGTTGGGCGGCCGCCACTCCGGCTTCTTGAGCCCTTCGTACCAGCCCTTGATCTCGCTGCGCGTGAGCACGCCGCCCGCAATGCCGCCCATGTGCGGCAGGAGGGTGGCGAACACGGGAGGCACCCACGCAGACCACGCCATCGTGGTCCCTGCGGCACACGGCATCACCACGTCATCGTCGCCACCGTCATCGCCACGACGTCAATATGGCGTCGCGATCACTGCCGCGTCATCGCCGCGACGTCATCGCCGCGTCATAGCCGCACCATCACGGCATCATCGCCATCGCCACGACGTCAGCACGGCATCGCAATCACTGCCTCGTCATCGCCGCGACGTCATCGCCGCACCATCACGGCATCATCGCCGCGTCATCGCCTCTTCACCACAGCACCATCACGTCATCACCACCATCGCCACGACGTCAGCACGGCATCGCAATCACTGCCTCGTCATCGCCGCGACGTCATCGCCGCGACGTCATCGCCACGTCATCGCCGCACCATCACGGCATCACCACCGTCATCGCCACGTCATCGCCATCGCCGCGACGACGTCAGCACGGCGTCGCAATCACTGCCGCGTCATCGCCGCGACGTCATCGCCGCACCATCACGGCATCATCGCCACGCCATCGCCGCGTCATCGCCACGTCATCACCATCGCCATGACGTCAGCACAGCGTCACAATCACTGCCGCGTCATCGCCATGTCATCGCCGCGTCATCATCACCATCGCCGCTTCACCACAGCACCATCACGGCATCATCATCACCATCGCCGCGACGTCAGCACGGCGTCGCAATTACTGCCGCGTCATCGCCGCGACGTCATTGCCGCTTCACCACGGCACGGATCCACCCAGCCACCACACACCGCCCACACACCCTTCACCGTGTTAGCCTTTACAACAATCACGGACGCGTCTGACAACCAGCTCATGTAAACCACGTGGACACGGTCTGCCTCCCACCACTCTTGATCCCCACCCCTCCCATCTGTACGTCTCCCTCTGTCACTCTAAACCGGCTCGATCCTCCCGTAGTAAACCACGTGACTGACGCGTGGCCAGCCCCACTCTGAATCCCACCTCTCTCCCCGCCCACCAAGAAAACCGACGCCGCTCCTCCTCCTCCTCGCAGCAGCAGCAGCAGCAAGAGCAGCAGCAGCAGCAACAGCAGCAACAGCCAGAGTAGCAGCAGCAGCAACAGCAGCAGCAGCAACAGCAGTAGCAGCAGCAGCAGCAACAGCAGCAGCAGCAACAGCAGTAGCAGCAGCAGCAACAACAGCAGTGAGGCCCTAGTCCGGCCTCGTCTGCCTCCCCATCCCCGTCTCTCCTGCCCCCTTTGATCCCGTCCCTCCGTTCCTTCGACCATCCTTCTCGCCATTCAGACGCTGTCTCCTCGACAGACCTGTTCTTCACCTGAGGACGGCTGCTTGCGTTGTGGCCGAAACGTCGTGAGAATTGTATTTTATTATGTTTTATTTTCATTATTTTATTATTTCCCTTCTACGTGACTTTACCGAAAGAACCAAGAAGATGCGTACGCGATTCCGTGCCCGAAGACAGAGGCAAGCATGGGTAGCATCCAGAAGTATCCAGCAGCATCCCAATTCCCCGGTGCGACGGACGCTACCCCGGGGTCAGCCGTACGACCGCTTGACCCCGCTCGCTCGAACCGCGTCGTGTCCAATTCGCGTTCCGCGTTGGAACAAAGATGCGTTCCCTCATTTGCTCGAATCGCATTCCCCCATTTTCCTCTGTCTCTCTCTCTTCTCTCCACGCACCATCGCATCCTTGACACTCTGCGGGCCCCTTTTCTTGCAGCGGTGCGCGCCGCGGGTGCAAAGTTTCTCGCAATAATATTGAATCACTTCTTCCTTGGTTCTTTCGGTAAAATCACGTAAAAAGAAATTAATAAAAT